GAGTACTCTTGCCGAAACCGGTTTGGCTCAGTGGATAGAGCATCGGACTGCGGACTGAAAGGTCCCAGGTTCGATTCCGGTCAAGGTCATGTACCTGGGTTGCGGGCACATCCCCAGTGGGGGATGTGCAGGAGGCAGCTGATCAATGTTTCTCTCTCATCGATGTTTCTAACTCTCTCTATCTCTCTCCCTTCCTCTCTGTGAAAAATCAATAAAATATATTTAAAAAAAGAAAAAAAAAGTACTCTTAGTAATAATAACAAAATAGTTATTACATGCCAGGCCCTGCTCAAATGCTTTCTACATATGGACCCAGTTAACATTCTAACACCCCATGAGGGAGACACTAGGGCTAATCCCCATTTCACAGACAGGAAAGCCAAGGGCCAGACAGGCTAAGCAACCTGTCCCAGGTTACACAGCAAGTAAGTGGGGAAACTGGAAACCAGACAGCCTGACTCCAGAACTGAGCAATTGCCACGATCCTAGGATGTGTCTTAAAAACCTCTGAGCTCAGTGGATAGAGCGTCGGCCTACGGACTGAGGGGTCCCAGGTTCGATTCCAGTCAAGGGCATGTACCTTGGTTATGGGCACATCCCCAGTAGGGGGTGTGCAGGAGGCAGCTGATCGATGTTTCTCTCTCATCGATGTTTCTAACTCTCTATCCCTCTCCCTTCCTCTCTGTGAAAAACCAATAAAATATATTTAAAAAAAAAAAACAAACTCTGAAAATACACAACTGAAGCAAAAGGCCCTCAAAGCAATACTTAGAATGCCCTCCGACAATTTCCTACTCTGCTGTTACTGTGTTTGTTTGCCTGCGACCCACTAAATGTATTTCTGGACCACTAATGGGTCAGGACCCACAGTTAGTTAGGAAAACAGGCCTTAGGACACTTTCCCTAACTCATCCCCATTCCAGGGGCCTTGCCCTTTGACCTCCTGCATCCTGTTCAACACCCCCACACCTACACAAGTCTAGGCCTCACCTCTGCCAGTGGCTCCCTGGCTCCAGGCCTGACTTAGACGCAAATCGTCCCTCAGCCCACACTTCCCTGGCACCAGCGGCATCCTGGGTGCCTCGCCAGATGCCCAGCGTATTCCTTTCCGAGAGCTCCCATAGCAAACTGGGTGCCTAAAACAGCAGAAATGGCCCTGGCCGGCTGGCTAGGTTGGTTAGAGTGTCGTCCTGTCACCGAAAGGTTGTGGGTTAAGGCACATACCTAGGTTGTGGGTTCCATGTGTGGAAGGCGCTGATCAATGTTTCACTTCCTCTCTCTCTCTCTCTCTCTCTCCCCCCTCTCTCTCTCTCTGATCTACAAAAACATATCCTCAGATGAGGATTAAAAAAATTAATAGAAATGCACGCTCTCACAGTTCTGGAGGCCAGAAATCTGAAATCAAGCTGTTGGCCGGGTCACACTCCCCCCGAAGACTCTAGGGGAGGGTCCGTCCTCGCCTCTTCCAGCCTCTGGCAGCCCCTGGCCTTCCCTGGCTTCCGATCTCGGTCTTTCCTCTGCGTCTCTCTCCTCTTCTTATAAGGGCTCCAGTATGCCGTCATTTTCACGAATTACGTCTCCAATAATCTATTTCCAAATAAGATTATATTCTGAAGTACTGAGGGGTAGGATTTCAATATCTCTTTTTCTGGGGGAGGGGAGGAGAGGGTACAAAACTCAGTGAATGTCATCTACTGAACACTTCATGCTCACCATGTCCTATCTGACCCTATGTCCCCAACTGGGTCCTGGGCCAGAGAACTGGGTGTCACCTACACATCTCCCTGCTCCCCAGCCTGACAGGCTCTGCACTCTACATTCCGCCTTCCAAATGCTTCCCAATTAATTTCTACCTTTCCCACCATCTCTGCCCTGGCCCAGTATCCCCACCCCTTCCTTGTCCCTGCTCTAGATTTCCCTCTTGACTCTGCCCAAAAGACTTGCCCCCTCCCATCCAGCCTGCACACAATGGCCAGGGCGACACCTTCCTGAAGCACACGGCAGGCCCTTGCTTCCTGGCTCAGGCCCACTGCCTTAACACTGCCCGTAAGACCCTGCATGGGCCACCCTGACTGCTGGACCCGGTCCCCTCATGGGGCCCATGTGGGGCCTCATATAAACCCAGCCCTGGGGACAGTCAGCTTGCCACCCAGTCTGCACCTGCACCCACTCGGAAAAATACAGCCAGAGCAAGACACGCGGCCACAGCGACGCATCTCATTTCAGTTTAATAGCCAGTAACCTCAAGGGGTTGGGTCTATGTGTCTACCTCTCCCCGGCCACTCACTCACTATCTCATGATTTCCCCTCTCTCTCCAACCTCAGCACCTCCCTCCACCTTGACGCTGCTTCCTAATTTACCGAGACAACGCCAGGAAGGAGAAGAGAACGTTCACATTTCCTGACACCTCGTGTTGCTACCTGCCCGCCTTCCTGCCCATATGCCCCTCCTCCCCCGTCACTGTGGCAGAACAGCGATGCCCCTTGGACCACCCTCCCCTGGGGCCCTGGAACCCACCCACCGTGCTGACCCAAGGACAGGGCTCCAGCAAACCTCCCCTTTCCCCTCTGCAGCATCCATCTCCCCTCTTCTAGATCGTTCTCATTGGCACATGACATAGTTACATCTACCATCTGAAATAAACCTTCCAAGATCCCATTCCCCCTTCAGATACCACCGCATTTCTGTGCTGCAAAGAATCATCTACACTGGCTCTCTCCAAACCCTCTCTTGAACCCACCTAATCAAGCTGCAGACCCCCCCCCCACTGCCCCCAAAAATGGCTCTTTTCTAGATGACCGGTGACGTCCATCTTGCTCGCTCTAGTGGCCAGTTCTCAGTCTGCATCAGACTCCGCTTCTAGCAAGCATTTGGCATCCACGACCCTTCCCTCCTTCTGGATTTGCACCCTTCACTTGGCCTCCAGGGCATCACATTGCCAGGTTCTCCTCTGTCTTCCCTGATTGCTCCTCCCTCAGCCTCCTCTGCTGACCCCAGCCCTCTCCTGGAGTGCCCCCGCCTCAGGCCTGGACTTCTCTTCTATCTACAACGGCGCCCTGGTGGACCTCTCCCAGCCTTAGGGACTTACAGGTCACTTACTCACTGACAACTCCTCAATTTCTGCCTCAAGACTGAAGCTCTTCCCCTGGAGTCCAGACTCAAATATCCAACTGCCTACCTGACATTTGTACTTGGGAGACTAATGGGCATCTCAAGTTGAGGCAAACTTGAACTCCCGATCCACTTGCAGCTCTGCCCATTGCTTCTGGCAGCTGCATCCGTCCTGTTACTCGGGCCAAAGACACTGGAGTCACCCTCGACTTCTGTCTCTCACTTCCCTATGCAATTCCATTTCACCTCACCTTCCCCGCTGCCACCCTGGTTGGAGCCACCATCACCTGAACCACTGCAGTGGCCTCCTCGCTGGGCTCCCAGCTTCCATCCTGGCTCCCTGAAAGCAGGTCCCCAGAGGAATCTTACTAAGTCCTTCCCCAGTGCAGGGCCCTCCCCTGGCTCTCATCTCATACAGGGTAAAGGCCGAAGTGCTTGCAGTGACCCACAAGACCCTGCACCATCTGGCTCCCCACCCTGCCCGCCCCTGGCTCCCTCCATCCCCATTGGCCTCCTAGATGTTCCTGTAACACAACAGGCAAAGTCCTGGCCCGGGCTGCACTTGCTCCCTCACCTGCTTCACCTCTCTACTTAAATGTCACCTCTCTGCTTAAAGGAGGCCTCTCCTAGCCACCTTATTTTAAAATCACACACACATACACACACACACACACTCACACACACACACACACACACCATACTCCCCAACCCTTTTCCCTTACATTTTTAAAAAAATATATTTCTTTATTAATTTCAGAGAGGAAGGGAGTGGGAGAGAGAGAGAGAAACATCAATGATGAGAATCATTGATCGGCTGCCTGGTCCAGCACGTCCCCTACTGGGGATCGAGCCCACAACCCAGGCATGTGCCCTTGGCCAGAATCGAACCTGGGACCCTTCAGTCTGCAGGCCAATGCTCTATCCACTGAGCCAAACCGGCTAGGGCCCCTTCCATTTTCTTCATAATACTTATCACCTTCTCACTTATTTGTCTATTTATTTTGCCAGTTGTCTGATTCTCCCAAGTGAAGAGTGAGCACCATGAAGGTATAGGTTTTTGTCTTTTGTATTCACTGCACCTGGAACTGTATAGACGTTCAATAAATATTTGTTGAACAGATGAAGCACCGTTGGTTGATGACCTTGAAGTCTCCTGCGGGTTACTAAATTACAAATATTTCGGCCCGCCTTGCATCCTGCCTTCCAGCTCACCCAACCGGTCTTCTAGATTCATTCCTGCTTCCACGCGTTTGCTTAAAGTCATGCCCGCGCCAGGATCACCCTCCCTACCGAGGAGGCTCTCACTCAGGTCTCCCTCCCTTACCTCGAGAAGTAAATGTGTAGATGGTGGGGGGGAACGCCAGGCATGGATGGAAGGTTTATGCGTTGCCATAGTTACTGCGCCCGCCCGGAACAACACATTCCCAGGGTGCCCCGCCCCTACGGGTAATAGGTGGTTAGCAGATCCCGAGCAGTCCCGCGCTGGGGCGAGTATAAGGAGGCGACAACCCGGTTTTACTACGACGCCCCCCGCCCCATCCGCTTTCACTCCACCCACGCAGTTGTCATGGAAACAAAGCGCATCCCTCCAGCGCCGTCTCCCTCCCTTTTCTGCTAGAGAAAAAAACATATGCATAGATATGGAGCTGGGTGGGCTGAGAGTCCAAACGGCGGGGACGCCGCTCGGTCCCCGCGCTCTCTCCCTGATCTCTCCTGCCTCCTGCAAGGAGGGCGACGCCTGCGCAGGGCGACAGCCTTGGGTACCAAGGCTAGAGGCAAGCGGCGCGCATGCGTGAGACGGGGTTTTGCGCGTGCGCCGCGGTGGCCCCGGAGGCTGCGGCCGGCGGAGGCTGGCGGGAGGCGGTCCTGCGCTGGCGACGTGGGCGGGGCGTGAAACCCCGGCGGTCGGGGCGTTGGGGACCCACCGGCGTGTGCTGCGCCTGCGCCGCGGCTCTCCCGGCAGCGGGAGGCGGGGTCCAGAGCGGGAGGACGGAGAGCAGCGGGGGGAGGGAGGAGGCCGCAGGGGCCCGAGCCTGGACCGACGGGCAGGCGGGGGCTGCGGCGGCGCCGGTGAGTGACCCGCGGCCCGACTCGGTCCCCACCCTCCGCGACCCTCACTCTTCCATGAGCCCCCCCCCATAGCCTCCGCTGTCCCCCGCCTAATCCCTGACTCCCATTACCCCCAGAGCGCCCCTTAATTTCTAGCAAGCCCCCGCCATCTCTGCAGACCCCAATTCCTAATATTTCATGGTCCCAGCTCCCCTGCCCTAGGAGCCCCCAACTCGCCGCTCTTCCTGCTCATCCCCTCCGAGGACCCCTTCCCATAATGGTCGTACAGACGTCCCATTGGCCCGGAACCCCCAGAGCGCTCCTCTGCTCCAGATCCCCCCTTCTTGCTGCATCTCCCCTTCAGCATCTTGCACCCCCGTTACCCTTGTGCGTTTTCGACCTCCGAAACACCCCCATTCTGCTTGCACTTGTCCTATGCCCCCATTCTCCTCCGACTCCTGCAGATACCCCCTCTTCCGCTCTTCCTCATTTCCCTCCACCCCTCCAGATCCTCCCCAGTTTCCATCAACTCCTCGGCTTGGCACTTGGCGCCTCACTGGCAGGAGAGGAGCGCTCCACGGGTGTCAGCTGCTATTAGGCACTCGGACTGCCCCCCACGGCCCATCGCCCCCCGTCCCCTGCCCCCATCCCTGGCCCCGGGTACTAAGGAGCCGGTGTCGCAGCGGCCGGCCGGGGTGGGGTTGGCGGCGCGGGGGACGCCGAGCCCCCGCCAGCGCGGTGCGCCCTGTGCCCGCAGCGCCGGCGCCCCCCATGCGCCAGGCGGCCGGACGGCGGCGTCGGGGGGCGCCATGGCCTCGGCGGCGGCGGGCGAAGCGGAAGAGACCACCCGGCTGCGCAAGCCGCGGTTCTCGTTCGAAGAGAACCAGATCCTGATCCGGGAGGTGCGCGCCCACTACCCGCAGCTCTACGGCGCGCAGAGCCGTCGGGTGAGCGTGGCCGAGCGGCGGCGCGTGTGGGACGGCATCGCGGCCAAGATCAACGGCATCACCAGCTGGAAGCGCACCGGCCAGGAGGTGCAGAAGCGCTGGAACGACTTCAAGCGCCGCACCAAGGAGAAGCTGGCCCGCGTGCCGCACTCCACGCAGGGCGCTGGGGCTACCGCCGAGGACGCCTTCTCTGCCGAGGAGGAGACCATTTTTGCCATCCTCGGGCCGGGTGTGGCGGGGCCAGGCGCTGGCGCAGGGGCGGAGCAGCCCCCAGCGGCGCCCCCCTCACAGCCACTGGCCCCAAGTGCCTACACCCAGCGCTATGTGTTGTCCGAGGACCGCAGGGAAGACCGAGGGGCAGGTGAGTTCCTTAAGCATCACCGTAGCAAAGAGTCTGCTGTGTGCCTGGCACTGGTCCAAGCCCTTTAGGTGGCTCATCAGCTTCTCACTACAACCCTGCTAGGGGGATGCTGTCATTATCCCAATTTTAAACCTGGGGAAACTGAGGCTCAGAAAAGTGAAATGATTTGCCTCGGGTTCCACCGCGAGTGACTGTCAGAATCAGGAACAGAACCCAGACCTAGGAGGCCTGGCCCCAGAGTCCACACCCAGAGTCATCAGCTCAGGCATCATTTTTTTCCTTCTTTTTTAATTTTGTGATAGAATCTTTTTAAAAATATTTTTTTATTGATTTCAGAGAGGAAGGGAGAGGGGGGGAGAGTTAGAAACATCAATGATGAGAGAGAATCATTGATTGGCTGCTTCCTGGGGATGGAGCCCACAGCTCTTGCCCTTGACGGAATCCAACCAGGGACCCTTTGGTCCGCGGGCCAATGCTCTATCCACTGAGCCAAACCAGCTAGGGCAAGGCATCATTTCAATTGAACGTCTTGTAGGGTAGTGACTCTGGAGGCAGACTGGGCTCCAACCACAGCTTTGCCACTCAGCTGTGTCATTTCGGGTAAGTTACTGCAGGTCAGTTTCTGCATCTATAAAATGGGGATAAAAAGCAGTTGCTACCCAAAGGTTGCTGTAAAGATGAAGTGAATTAATATGCATAAATTGCTTAGAACATGGCCTCTGGAACATTCATTATTAGCTTCTGATATAATTGCCAATGCTGTGAGGTACGGGCTGCTTCACTATTTTATAAGTCAAAGTCTCACAGAGGTTTGTTAACCCCCAAGGTCATGCAGAGTCGAGGAGATGGTGAGAGCTGAGTACACGATTTTCCACTTCGCCTTGAGTCTGGGTTATTATTTCTTACACAGCTATTCCCCAGGCACTGTCCTATGGTGGGTAGTGTTGGGGACACACTGAAGGTCAGACTTTGGACTTCCTCTTGAAGGCATTTGGGAGTCTTAAGCAAGAAATAAACACAAAAATCTGGACCTTTGTTCTTAGTGTGAATCAAACCTCAGTGTTTCTGTGACTGAGGAAACACAGTCCAGTGGGGAAGACAGACTCATAGACAGTGATGACTCCCAGCTGACCTACCCTGGGAAGTCAAGGAGGGCTTCCTGGAGGAGGAGAAATCAGAGCTGAGACTTAAAGTGAGGATGAAGCGCTAGGAAAGTGTTCCTGGTAGAAGGAACAGCATGTACAGTGGCTTGGAAGCAAGAAAGCTTGACCAGTTTAGAAAATTGAAGTCTCCCAGTTGGAGAGAGGAGCGGGAGAGTGGAAAGATTGAAGAACGGAAATGTTTTGAGATGAGGTTTGAGAGGTCAGCAAAGACCAGACCCTGCAGGGCCTTTAGGCTGGATTGAGGAGTTCGCATGTTATCCGGAAGTGCTTTGGGAAGCCACAGAAGGGTTTTGAGGAAGGGAGGGACATGATCAAACAAAGCAGTTGAGGATCTTGTGATTCAAAGAGGTTCCTTCACCTACCCAAGGTCACACAGCAAGTAAGTAGTAGAGGTAAAACTGGAATACACATGTGTGCAACTCACAGTCCATGCACTTAGCAATTGGGCTAGATTGCCTGGCAATAACAACAATTAGTATGACTGAAAGTTAATGAGTGTGCCAGAATTGGGTCACACATGGCTTACAAGTGAAGGCCAGGCTTTGGGTTTTATCTCTTTTTTTTAAAATATATTTTTATTGATTTTAGAGAGGAAGGGAGAGGGATAGAGAGATAAAAACATCAATGAAGAGATAGAATCATTGATCAGCTGCCTCCTGCACACTCCCTACTGGGGATCGAGCCCGCAACCCAGGAGTGTGCTCTTGGCCGGAATCAAACCTGGGACCCTTCAGTCCGCAGGCCGATGCTCTATCCACTGAGCCAAACCGGCTAGAGGGTGGACTTTATCTTGAGGGCATCTAGAAGTCATAAAAGTGTCTTGAGCAGGAGAGAGACACAATCACTTGGGACTTTTATTCTCAGTGTGAATGAAAACTCCGTGTTTCTATCTGTGAAATGGCCCTGTTGAACTGGAGCAGACATGTTAAACTTATTTTTCAAAACCTGTGCAGCCCCTTCATTCATTCATTCATTCATTCAACAAATGTTTACTGAGTACCTTTCTGAGGCGGGCACTGTTGTAGATGCGGGGAATACTGTGCAGAAAGACAATTTCCCTTCTCTTATGAAGCTAACGTTCTAATTATGGGAGACAGACCACAAACAATCCAATATGGATCATATATAGGAGGTTATAAAAACTAAAAAAAAAATAAAGCATTAAGAGGATAGTGAGTGATGGAAGGAGGTCTGCTTTAGACAGGGTAAGAAGGGTCAGCTTCTCTGAGGAGGTAAACCTTGAACAGTAACCTGAATAGAGGGATTGAGCCAAATGGATGAATAGCTGAGGAAAGCACTCCATCCAGCTAGAGGGAACAGCACGTGCAAAGGCCCTGAGGCAGGAAGGTGCTTAAAGCTCCTTGATTAGAATAGTACACAGAAGACCCACAGTGTAAAACTCAAAAGAGGAACTGAAGGACTGAAACAGCCTGGGGCTGCCTGAGGTGTCTTTATCGACAATGAGAGAATTGGGACCATTTCTCTCTGACCTAATGTTTGAAAAAACAGTAACAACATGGAGAAGTCACTGTGTGTCAGGCACTTAAGCATGTGCCAGAGGTGAGTCAGTGACTCCCAGGAATGGCCCTCGGGAAGATGATCTGTTACTGGGGCCCTTGGTCCCAGGCACTGACACACATCCAGTTACAGGTAGGGACACTGAGGATCAACGTTGGTAAATAGGATTTTAACGCTGGTGTGATGGTGCCTCCGTGAGCCCTGTGGGTGTGGGGAGTGGGCCACTTTCCGTGCATCGTAGTCAGTAGACGAAAAGCCATATTTTCAAGTGGCTGCAGTTCTCATGTCCTTCTGAGTGAGACTCACCACCCTCAGGCCCACAGCCGCGGCCCAGGGAGTGGATAAAAGTGTGGGCTCTGGAACCTACCTGGGTTCCACTCCCTCTTCTACCATTCGCCAGATCTGGGACACCTCTCTGGGCCTCAGTCGCCTTATCTGTAAGATGGGATGATAATGATAGCACCTATCCCAGAGAATGGCTGTGAGGACTCTGAAACAGCACAGGAGGACAGGGCCTGGCCAGGAGACAAAAGGACAGGGATGGGAGCTATTTAAGAGGGACAATATCAAGGAATGTCTTCCCAAGGAGGCCGCCTTTGAGCGGAGGCCTGAGGAGGTGAGGGAGGGAGCCAGGCAGGTGTGTCTGGGGAAAGACCTTTCCAGGCCAAGGAATAGCAAATGCAAAGGCCTGGATGCAGGCGCATCCTACTGTGAGGATCAGTATGAAGGCCAAGGTGGCCCTAGCCCAGTGGTCGGCAAGCTCATTAGTCAACAGAGCCAAATATCAACAGTACAACGATTGAAATTTCTTTGGAGAGCCAAATTTTTTAAACTTAAACTATATAGGTAGGTATATCGTTATTAACTTAATTAGGGTACTCCTAAGGCTTCGGAAGAGCCACACTCAAGGGGCCAAAGAGCCGCATGTGGCTCGCGAGCCGCAGTTTGCCGACCATGGCCCTAGCCCAGGGATGGGCAAACTTTTTGACTCGAGGGCCACAACGGGTTCTTAAACTAGACCGGAGGGCCGGAACAAAAGTATGGATGGAGTGTTTGTGTGAACTAATATAAATTCAAAGTAAACATCATTACATAAAAGGGTACAGTCTTTTTTTTTTTTTTAGTTTTATTCATTTCAAACGGGCCGGATCTGGCCCGCGGACCATAGTTTGCCCACCGCTGCCCTAGCCGGTTTGGTTCAGTGGATAGAGCATTGGCCTGGGGACTGAAGGGTCCCAGGTTCGATTCCAGCCAAGGGCACATGCCTGGGTTGCGGGCTCGATCCCCAGGAGGGGGTGTGCAGGAGGCAGCCAATAAATGATTCTCTTTTATCATTGATGTTTCTGTCTCTCCCTCTTCCTTCCTCTCTGAAATCAATAAAGAAATATATTTTAAAAACAAATAAGAAGGCCAAGGTGGTGGAGCCAAATGAACAAGGTACAGACCGTGGGGAGGGAGATGAGGTCAGGGAGGCCGTGGGGGCAGATCACGCAGAAACTTGGGGTCTTTGAGGACTTTCCTTCTTCCGAGACCAACGCCAGGAGGCATTGAGCTGCAAAAGACATTCGACTTGTGTTTTTTAACATCTTCATTAAGCTACAATTCCCCTACCGTATAACCCGCCCACCTCAAGTCTGCAATTCCGTGGCTTTTCCTATATGCACAGTCTGCAACCATCACAATCAATTTCAGGTACTTTTCATCACTTGAAAAAGAAACCCTGGCCCTAACCGGTTTGGCTCAGTGGATAGAGCATCGGCCTGCGGACTCAAGGGTCCCAGGTTTGATTCCGGTCAAGGGCATGTACCTTGGTTGCAGGCACATCCTCAAGAGGGAGTGTGCAGGAGGCAGCTGATCGATGTTTCTCTCTCACTCTCTCATTGATGTTTCTAACTCTCTATCCCTCTCCCTTCCTCTCTGTAAGAAATCAATAAAATCTATTTTTTTTTAAAAAAAAAGAAAAACCCTGCACCTCTTAGCCATCACCCCCCTCCCTATTCCCCCATCTCCACCCTGCCCTAGGCAACTACTAATCTACTTTCTGTCTCTGTAGATTTGCCTATTTTGAACATTTCATATAAATGGGTCACGTGACATGTGGTCCTTTGCGACTGGCTTCTTCCCTGTAGCATAACTGACATGTATTTCAGTTGGACCCCTGAGGCTCTGGTGGAGGACAGACTGTGAGGGGCAGGGTGGAAGCAGGAAGCCAGTGAGAAGGCACCTGCCACGGTTCAGGTGGGAGGTGACGGTTGGACCAGGTGGGGACCGTGGAGGCGGACAGGAGAGGTTGGGTGTTGGATTAGTTTGAAGGCAGAACCAATGGTGTTTGTATATGGATGGGGCCTCGGGAGAGAAAAAGAGAACAAGTTTTTGGCCCGAGCAGTTGGAAGGATGGAGAGCTGCCATAAGCCGCAATGGGGGGGTGGGGGTGGGGGGGCTGGGGGAGGAGCAGGTTGGGAGCACCAGGAGCTCAGCTCTGGGCAAGTGAGCGAGAGGCATTAGTAAGTGATCATCGGGGTATGCCGAGTCCACAGCGGGAGAGAAGGGTTCAGGCTGGGTCTGGAAATCCGGGAGCCGCTGCCTGTGGACTATGTTCAAGTTCATGGGCATGAATGAGATGCCAGGTGAGAGGAGATGGAGGCAGCCCAGCAGGACTGGGGGTGAGCTGGTACAGACCGGAGCTGAGGTTGAAACCCTGGCATCTGCATAGGAGACAACCCCTACTGCTCCGGCCACCACACCTCTCCCCCTGGGATCCAGCAAAGAGGTCTGAGAAGTGAGCAGGGGGCGGGGGGGGGGGGGGGGGGGGAATCAGATGATCTGAACCTTCTAGATTCTAGGTTGGCTCTGCCTGACTCCGCTGCAGGCCTCCAGGACCCTTTTCCACTAAGGCCGCCCGAGGCTACCAGGTTATCACTCAGTATAACCTACTGACTCCGCAGTATGCGGGCTTCTGTTGCAAGCCATGATCTGACTTGAGTTTTGAAGATGGCGGCTCTGGGGCTAAGGCGGGTGGAGGTGGAAGGGAGGAATCCAGACAGCATTGCAGGGTCACGCACACCTTGCCTACATCTCTCTCCGCAGATACACCAGCCCACAGCAAAGGGGGCTCCAGCAGCCCGGAGCCCTGGGCCCGGCCCTCCTGCCACCCCCAGGAAAGGGGCTGCCCACCGCCCAAGGAGCGTGAGTCCTCGCTCCCTCCAGCCCTGCAGACCGTCCAGCTGCCCCGTCTGGCCTTGTCTCCACCGCCCCCAGCCCCTCCAGCACCCCAGCCACCACCACAGGTTCAAGTGGCGCCCTCGCCCGCCAGCCCCTCACCCCCTCTCCTGCCTCTGCCCTCGGCCCCAGACCCCTCCCTGGACTTCCTGCGGGCGCAGCAGGAGACTGCCAACGCCATCAGGGAGCTGGCTGGCACCCTGCGGCAGGGACTGACCAAACTGAGCGAGGCCCTCAGCGCCCTGCTGCCCCTGCTGCCTGGAACCCCCGTTGACCCACTGCCCCCACCTCCACCCCCACCCCCCAGGCCTGTCCTGCCTCCACCTACCCCCAAGGTGGAGATCACCCCAGAGCCCGTGTCTGTGGTGGCTGCTGTCGTGGACCGGGCCAAGGTGGCAGCCAGGGGGGTGATCATCGCCCGTAGAAGCGAGGAAGGGACGCCCCGGCCACCCCCAACCCCTCCTCCTCCCCATGACTCCCCCCCACACAAGAGGAGGAAAGGTTTTCCTACACGGAAGAGGCGAGGGCGATGGAAATCTCCGTGAAATCGACCATTGGATTCAAGCTTGTCTGCACTTTCTGCCTGCACCACCTCTCCCAGCTTAGCCCGGCGGAGGAGGGCCATGCACCTTCCCCGTGCCAGCTGCACCCTGGCTCCCTGCTGCAGGGGCGTGGGCACCCCACACCCCCACTCCCTGTACTAGTTAGTGCCTGATTCGCGGGGGCCCTCGTTGATGGGCCCCCCAGCCCTTTCTCCAGTACAGCGCTGTCTGCCTGGCTGCTTTCCTTAACCCTGACTTCTAAGCCATCCATTTTAGGTTATTTCTTATTGCCCTTGGTGGGCTGCAGAGGGAACCTCACGCCCCCTTCCCTAATCACTCCTGGTTTGACTTGAAGAGAACTGATCTGTGGGAGGCCTCCCCGCTTCCCAATCCAGACTTTGGAGGGAGTGGGGGCTGCGAGACAAATCAGAGCGTGGATGACAATGAGGGGACAGCAGTCTGTATTCTGGGGGCGGGTGGGGGGGGCGAGTTCTCAAGGGGAGGTATAGGTTGGGTCCTCTGCCTCCCAGTGCAGTCTGACCTCCAGAACTCAGCCCCCTCCTTTCTCCTCAGTGGTGACAAGATATCAATAAACTTATTTTTAATATAATCACTCAAGGCTCTGGCTGAGACAGGCCTGGGATTTCAGTCCCTACACCTGCCCCACCCTCCCGGGAGCAGGCGACACACCCTTGAAGTTAGAGAGGCTGGAGCCTTCTTTTGTTAAAACCGTGAAGGCCAGCGTTCACGTCTTATTCTACTTACTCATCCTCCAGGTGCCACCGCACTGTCATCTCCAGGAAAGCATCCTGGTTCCCTCCCCGCCTAGGATGGGCCTGCAAGTGAAGACCGGTTAAACATACTTAAGGCGTGTTTCCTCCATCGTTCAGGAAGGCAGGAGCTGATTTTTTTTTTATAGCAAAGGTGGGAATTTATTGAGAAACAAGCACAGACTCCCACGTGGGGAGGGGGAAGAGTCCCAGGAGCTGATTTTCTTACTCTGAAACCTGCTGCAGAGTCTGGAGCAAAGCTGGTAATAACCACCTCCCTGGATTCAGACCTGGCTCCGCCCCTGATGTCGCCCTGGGCAGCTGCGTAACCACGGTCCTCCGTTTTCCTCATCTGTAAAATGGGCATCTTTTGATGTAGGAGGCTTTATTTTCTACAACTAGATTCTACTTATCTCCCAGGCCTTAGCTCAAATATCACCTCCTGAGGAAAGCCTTGTCTGACAACCCCCGCCCCCCCAGCAGTTGCCAAGAAATGAAGTTAATCATCTGAAGTTAATGAAGTTAATCATCTACAGTTAAATGGAAAGTCTACCTCCCTCACTAGGCTGAGCCTTGTCAGGTCCAGGCCCGAGCCTCTCTCAGTCACTCCTGTGTCCTCAGCGCTGCCCAAGGCTGAAGCGGAGTTGCATCTTTGAAATAATGGGCAGCTAACAAACACACACTTCACTTACAATGCTTCATTTCGGGGCCTGGCACCATGCTTAGCATTCATATGCAGGTTTGCATCTTAACCTGAAGGTAGCCGGTGAAAAGCAGAAGCTAGGGGGTCTCCTTTTTTTTTCTTTCTGAGTTTAGGAACTTGCCTTAAACTTATCAGGTGCCAATCCAGTCCACCTGAAGCTGGCATCTGGCCAGAACTCTTGTCTGCCACTAGAGTTTACTAGAGAATGACCCAAATGCAATTTTCAGTGATACCTGCTGGCCCTTTTAATAGTTGTAGATGCACCTTTAACTTACGTAAAAATGTAGCTAGCACATAAGGGCCATGATGGTGCCCATAACATTGCTTAGGTTGAAGCAAAAGGAGTCCTTTCCAAAGAAGTCCATTAATATATATTCTATATAATAAATAACTAATATGCTAATTAGACTGAAGAGCAGAACAACCATCTGGATGACCTTCTGGATGAAGCTGGGGCTGCAAAGGCCAGCCAAGGCAGGCAGGGCTGTGAGGGCCGAGCCCCTTGCACGAATTTCGTGCATCGGGCCTCTGGTATATATATAATTTCAGAGAGGGAGAGAAACAACGATGAGAGTCACTGATTGGCTGCCTCCCACACTGGGGATCAAGCCCGCAACCTCAGCCAGTGCCCTGATGGGGAGTCAAACTGTGACCTCCTGGTTCATAGGTCGGCAGTGCTCAGCCACTGAAGCATGCCAGCTGGGCAAGAAGTCCATTTTTTACAAGTTATAGGTGGGTAACATAAAATCAGAGCTGCTATGCTTGCAGCTGGATGAGGGAGTGGGGTAGGCAGCCCCTGATTAGTTTGAAAAACACTTTAGTATGCAACGCTGACAATACATTAAAATATTGTTGTGTCCTTAGCATGGACCCAGGCTTAGGAAGAGGCTAATGGGGGTTAGAACTTAGAGACCTGTCTTCCCTGCCCAGCCCGCCTCACACTATTCCCAAGGACACGAAGAAAAAACACGGCTGGGCCAGCATGTCTCGGTGGTTGAGCGGGGACCTGTGAACCAGGAGGTCACAGTTTGATTCCCCATCAGGGCACATGCTGGGTTGCAGGCTTTATCCCCAGCAGGGGACGTGCTGGAGGCAGCCAATCCGTGATTTTCATCACTGATGTTTCTATTTCTGTCTCCCTTCCTCTCTGCAATCAATAAAAAAAAAAAAAAAATTATAAGAAAAAACATGGGAGTCGCCAGAGCCGGGCTGGGCCTATCAGGTAGTAAGCACTCAGGTTGCTGAAAGGTGGTCTGGCTCTTGCTCGTCCCAGAAACTACATCCCCCGCCCCCCACTCTTGCTCGCCATCTCGGGCCTCCTTCCCTTCACTCCAATTGGGGAGCAGTAGAAGGTGGTGATCCCCTCAACTCCGTGCCCCGAAAACACGGGAGAAGCACCCCCCACCCCCCGCAAAATTGACGGGGGGTGTCGGAGGTAGGACAGTCTGTGGGAATAGGAAGGCCTCCCCAGACCTCCCAGACAGCGGAAGTGCGTCAGTTTGTCCGATCCGCGGGGCATTTTGGGAATTGTAGTGAAAGTTGGAGGCGGGCGCAGAAACGGACGTCGTAACCCTTTGGACACCAGAGCGCGCTGTCAGCGCTGGAACAGCGTTGGAGGGCGCTTACCGCTCCAGCAGAGGAGGCAACTGAGGCAGAGGCCTTCGGGCCTCTCTTCTTAGCCGGCTGATGCTGGGCTGGCTTAGGGGCTGATACCCAGGATTCTGGGGAGAACAAAGTGCCAAGTGGACACCCCACCCCACCCCCGCATACCATCAAATGGCCAACTTCCCGTCCCCTACCCAGAAACCATCCAATCAGGGCCCCTCCACCCCAACCCAGGAGCGCCTGCCTTCTTCACGGGCCATTGGCTTACCTTTGATGGGCGGGGAACTCAGTCTCAGAGAGGGCAAGACTTGTGCTCGAAGCTGCACAGCAAGTCCGAGCAGAAACTATGTACACGCTCGGAAACATGTCCGCCTCCTACAATTTCTGGATTCGTGGTACCTCTGACCCTTGGTACCACATCTTCATCCCCAACTCTTGTGCCCGAGCTCCCCGAAGCGCGCCCAACTCCCTGCCCTTTTGGAGGAGTTGGTAAGGGTTGCGCGGCAGGGAAGCGACGAGTCCCCCTCAGCCGTCCCCTTTAAGAACCGGCCCCGGCGGGACTACGTTTCCCAGAAGGCTTTGCCGGCGCGTTATGTAACTTTCCCTGCGAAGCGGCCTCTGGGGCAGAAGAAGGTGGAGGCGGCGGCGGCGGCCGTTGCAGTGGCGGCGGCGAAAGCGACGCGAGCGGCGGGAGCCCGAGGCGGCGGCCCATCACTGGGCCGGAGCTGTGCGCCTCGGCCCGGAGCCTGGACCGGACGGGGGCGCCGACGTGCCTCTGCGGCTGCCTTTTCAAGGAGGCGGGAGTGAGGAAAAAGGCTTAGGGCCCAGGGGGCGGGGAAGGGGGGCCGGGCCTGGATCCGCGGGGAGGCCGAGCCCAAGGCCCGACCGTGGCTCGCGCTTCCCGGGGACACGAATAGAACGTCGACGGCGCGGATCGAACGGCGGCGGCGGGTGCAGCGCGGGGGCCCGGCGGCGGCGGCGGCGCGCGCGCGCGGGGGCCATGGCGTCGGTGCAGGCGTCCCGCCGCCAGTGGTGCTACCTGTGCGACCTGCCCAAGATGCCGTGGGCCATGGTGTGGGACTTCAGCGAGGCCGTGTGCCGCGGCTGCGTGAACTTTGAGGGCGCCGATCGCATTGAACTGCTCATCGACGCCGCCCGCCAGCTCAAGCGCAGCCACGTGCTCCCCGAGGGCCGCTCCCCCGGGCCCCCGGCCCTCAAGCACCCCACCGGCAAGGACCTGGCGGCGGCGGCTGCCCAGGGACCCCAGCTGCCGCCGCCGCAGGCCCAGCCGCAACCCTCGGGGACCGGCAGCGGCGCTGCGGGCCAGGACCGCTATGACAGGGCCACCTCCTCGGGCCGCCTCCCCCTGCCCTCGCCGGCCCTGGAGTACACGCTGGGGTCCCGCCTGGCCAATGGGCTGGGCCGCGAGGACGCCGTGGTGGAGGGGGCGCGCAGGGCCTTGCTTGGCTCCATGCCTGGCCTGGTGCCCCCGGGGCTGCTGGCAGCTGCCGTGACTGGCCTGGGAAGCCGAGCGCTGACGCTGGCGCCCGGCTTGAGTGCCGCCCGCCCGATCTTCGGCTCCGATTTCGAGAAGGAGAAGCAGCAGAGGAATGCGGACTGTCTGGCCGAACTGAATGAGGCCATGCGGGGCAGGGCAGAGGAGTGGCACGGGCGCCCCAAGGCGGTGCGGGAGCAGCTGCTGGCGCTGTCCGCCTGTGCCCCCTTCAACGTCCGCTTCAAGAAGGATCACGGGCTGGTGGGGCGCGTGTTCGCCTTCGACGCGGCCGCCCGCCCGCCCGGCTACGAGTTTGAGCTGAAGCTCTTCACCGAATACCCCTGTGGTTCTGGCAACGTGTACGCGGGAGTCCTGGCCGTGGCGCGCCAGATGTTTCACGATGCTCTGCGGGAGCCGGGCAAGGCGCTGGCCTCCTCGGGCTTCAAGTACCTCGAATACGAACGCCGGCACGGCTCGGGGGAGTGGCGCCAGCTCGGAGAGCTGCTCACCGACGGCGTCCGAAGCTTCCGCGAGCCGGCTCCCGCCGAGGCCCTGCCCCAGCAGTACCCCGAGCCGGCTCCTGCAGCCCTGTGCGGCCCACCCCCGAGAGCCCCGTCCCGGAACCTGGCGCCCACCACGCGCCGTCGCAAGGCATCCCCTGAGCCCGAGGGCGAGGCGGCCGGGAAGATGACCACCGAGGAGCAGCAGCAGCAGCAGCAGCGACACTGGGTGGCCCCGGGTGGTCCGTTCTCCGCCGAGACCCCCGGGATGCCCTCGCCCATCGCTGCCCTGAAGAACGTGGCTGAAGCTCTGGGCCACTCCCCCAAGGACCCCAGTGGGGGTGGGGGCCCCGGGCGTGCAGGGGGTGCCAGCCCAGCGGCCTCCTCCGCGGCCCAGCCGGTAGCCCAGCATCGCCTAGTGGCCCGAAATGGCGATGCCGAAGTCAGCCCGACCGCCGGGGCAGAAGCTGTGAGCGGGGGTGGTAGCGGCACCGGGGCGACCCCTGGAGCCCCCCTGTGCTGTACCCTCTGCCGCGAGCGGCTGGAAGACACCCACTTCGTCCAGTGCCCCTCAGTGCCCGGACACAAGTTCTGCTTTCCCTGCTCGAGAGAGTTCATCAAGGCGCAGGGCCCCGCGGGTGAGGTGTACTGCCCCAGCGGAGACAAGTGCCCGCTGGTAGGCTCCTCTGTCCCCTGGGCCTTCATGCAGGGCGAGATCGCCACCATCCTCGCTGGAGACATCAAGGTTAAGAAAGAACGGGACCCCTAGGCCACCACTGCCACCAGTCTGCTGCCCGTCCCCTTGCCGCCCACCGCTGCTGCGGATAAATTATTCCCTCCCTTCCCCAGCCCAGTGCCACCCCCACTGTGTACATACTCCCTTCCTCCTCCCAGAGGGGTCCCTGGGGTAGACGCATTGAGGGTGGGGGGAGAAAGCTCGTGGCTTCTGTCTGAGGGGGGTGTTTGGGGTCCCTTGGCCCCTCCGATTTCCCTCTCCCCTCCTTGGCTTAGCTTTGCTGCTGCTCGTAGTTGGGGAAGAGGCGGCCCGTCCTCCTTGAGAAGGCGCCTCCTGGAAATGTCGCTCTTTATAAATGAAGCAAAAGCATTTTATTGCTCCCCTCTCCTGCCCCCTTTCCTCCTTCAATAAACCGAAAAATGGGTTTTTTCCTTCTTGGTCCCTTAGTTTGTGAGCTGCTGCGCCCTCTGCGGGACGGAACTGGTCCTGCAGGGAGAGGATGTTCAGTGTGTCCTCCAGGTGTCGCTCTCCGCCCGGGCAGGCCCGCTGGCGACCTTTGCCGATGCTGGCGGCTGGTCAGACGGCCTAGCCATCGCCTGCTCTTCAGGTGACAGGACAGGCCCAGAGGAGATGGCTGTTGCCCGGGAGCCATAGCCACGCTTGGGAATTAGGTTTCTTTTCTGGTCCTTCCCCTGTATTTACCCAGAATGTGGGGAGGAGGACTCCGCCCATGAGGGGCGGGAAAGGGGCAGCAGGAGGCTTCAGAGGGTGGGTAGCGAGACGTGCGGGGCAGAGGCAGAATTAGGGGAGGTTGCTAGAGGGACTTCCCGGGGAAGGAGGCTGACGGCTGTGGGTCACACCAACAGGGTCCTCGGCTGCCTCGGGCCTCATGGGGCCCAAGCGCGCAAGAGGGAGGCACTCGGGCAGCCTGAACTGGTTCCTCGTGTGCATCCGGGAGACCATCCCAGCACCCTGACTGGCAGGGTGAAAAGCACTCCCCCCGCGGCCGCCTCTGATGTGCCGGGCCTTGTCCCGCACCTGTCCAGGTGGGCTGATCATTAACCAGGACTTCCTGCTCGCTGACGTCAGGGGGCGGGGCCTGGGCAGGCTGTGGCAAAGCAGGGGTTAAG